ATAATATTTTTCCAGTTTAAAAGTTGTCTCGTCTGAATCAGGAGAGAAATATGCACAGATCAAGCACTGTTTAAAAGGAAAAACAGTCCAAAACATCTCTAAACAAATATGTGGGTGGATTTTGATGTGAGAGGACAACAGCGGATGGACTTTTTTGCTGGAGGAAGCATTATTATTGATTATGGTCTTGTATTTTGGCCAGAAACAATGGTTTAAAGTTAAAATGTCTTAATGATTGATTTGTTTCTTACAGACTTGCAGCTTTTCAATTCGCAAGACGTTGTTAGAGTCACAGAGTCGTGTGGATTACTTGTGGATTATTTTTTATTTTTTTTATCAGCTGTTTGGACTCTCATTCTGACGGCACCCATTCACTGCAGAGGATCCACTGGTGAGCAAGTGATGCAATGCTACATTTCTCCAAATCTGTTCCCATGAAGAAATAAACTCATCTACATCTTGGATACCCTGAGAGTGAGTAAACCATGCAAACCAATGAAACAAATTTTCAAGTAGAAATAACTACTTATTAAATAATACAGTTTGCGGTGATTAAGAGACATTCACACTGACAGTGATTTGCAGTGACAAATCAAACTGAAGTTTTTGATGCTGGTGATTTGAGGCAACAAAAGCGAAGGTGACTCTTGGACTCTTGATGTGAGATGGTTGAGATTGTTTGGCTACAGTATGTGACAAAGTCAAGCTCAACTTTATGCAAATGAATAGTCGGCCAATGCAGCATAAAGTTTCAGCAACTGTCAGATACAGCAGGCGAGTGTGTGCAAAATGATGTTAATAGCAACTGTGAGCAATTTTCCTCTTCTCAATGATTTTTCTCTGCCCACATACAGGGACATAAATCACAAAAATTATGTGTGGAAAATTGTGTCAAAACTTGTGGGCATTCCAAGTGGGTTGGATTCATAATCATTCATCTTGTTTATGATATGATGCATAATCTACTGCAGAAATACATTTACAAATGCTTTTCCCTTTAGAATGTTCATTTTTACTCGCAAGAAACTGATTGATTGACCAAACAAAATGACATTTAATTTTTAACTAGCAAACTGAATATGCTGATCAGATGTTGGACAGCTATGGCTAGTTGTGTGGCTCACCATTAGAAATACTCAGTATGGATGAATTCAGGACACAGTGAACCAGGTGATTAATAATATAACATAACATAACATAACATAACATAATATAACATAATATAATATAATATAATATAATACAATACAATACAATACAATACAATA